ATTATTTATTATTTTAATTTTTATAAGTATCATTAAAATCCGTCCATCAGGTTCTAAGGTTAGTAAAGTGACAAACATATAAACAAGGTTTTTTAATTATCTTTCTGTTGCTGTTTTCTTATCGCCATATTTCTGTTTTATTAAACAATATTAATGGACAGACACATATTTTTACTGTTTTATTATATGGATAGATGTAAGGAATGCAATAACTGCTTTATTCTACTAGAAGATAATAAGATGAATAAGGGAAAAGGATTAAGATCCTATGAATGGGATGTTCAACTTCTAGATATTGGTTGATTAGGAATTTATTCGTGTACTTCTGTGTTATTCTGGTTTGGCCAAATATGTTGTGTATGTAATATGTTTGGTATCAATAACAAGAGTAATAATGTTGTATTGATAGCAAAATTATACCAAAGTCATTTGGTAAATTGCAACTACAACTTAAGTAAAAACAATTCAATATAATGTTGTTTAAATTGAAAATTTATTTTGAAATAATCAAAGAAAAAACTATTTGACTTGTATTTCTAATATTTTTAAATCCATTTCATCTCATCCAAAATATTTGAAACTCTACTATTGCAAAAAATCCTACCTATACTCAAAGAAAAAAAACTAATTCCTGACCATCAGTTTGGGTTCCGATATAAACATGCCACTGTCGACCAAGTGCATAGACTAGCAAATAAGATCATGGAATCACTGGAGGCAAAGTCTTACTGTGCTGGTGCATTCTTGGACATATCTCAAGCGTTTGACCGCGTTTGGCATGCGGGTCTGCTTTTTAAATTAAAAAACGCCTTACCGGATCATCTGTACGGAATACTAAAATCATTTCTACAAGGGCGCCAATTCTTAGTACAAAGCGGGGAAGCATTGTCTGGTCTCTGGCCCATACAGGCAGGAGTACCACAGGGTAGCGTACTGGGTCCCATACTCTACTTACTGTTCACTGCAGACTTGCCGACATCCGAATTGCTAACTACTGGAACCTTTGCCGACGACACCGCCGTACTAGCTGCTCATAGTGATCCAAAAATTGCCTCACAAATACTCCAAGAAGGACTGAATGTCATATCTGACTGGCTTAAAAAATGGCGGTTGAAAGCCAACGAAACCAAATCAGTCAATATTACTTTTACTTTGAGAAGAGGATCCTGCCCCCCAGTCACACTAAACAACATTGAAATCCCACAAGCAGAGCATGTGAGATATCTTGGATTGCATCTGGACAAAAGACTTACCTGGCAAAAACATATTTTCACTAAGAGAAAGCAACTTGGTATCCAAACACGAAAACTTTACTGGCTCATAGGGCAAAAGTCTCAGCTGTCTCTCGACAACAAAATACTGTTGTACAAGGCAATATTAAAGCCCATCTGGACATACGGGATCCAATTGTGGGGCACCGCATCTCACTCAAATATAGAGATTATACAGAGGTTTCAAAATAAAGCTCTGCGTATGATAACCAACGCACCCTGGTTTGTACCCAATGAGCTGCGTCACCATGACCTACGAATGCCCACTGTAAAGCAGGAAATCATACACCATACCAAGTGCTATAATGAAAGAATCCAACAACACCCAAATACTCTGGCTCGGTCACTAATGGACAATCACAACAAAGCGCGACGATTAAAGCGCAAAATACCTCAAGACCTAATCCAACCACAGTAATTATAACTACTGTTTAAATAATGAAGATGTGGCACAGGCCACATACTGAGCGAGTCTGCGTTAGCACAAACCGATATACTTCTGAATGTCCCACGAAGGAGACAGATTGTAGTATTTAATAATAATATAAAAAAAAAAAAAAAAAAAATCATCTTATAATAGTCCTATTTGGCAAACGAAAGGCTCTACTTCCCAGACTTTATTTTATTTAATCGACATTTCAAACAACTGCCAATCGGCAATCACTCTTGCCACATCTAAATCAACAAACAGAATGAATTTCATTCCATTTCAATATTTTTATTCGACATTTATCTATCAGTACATAAACGAAGTTTCATCAAATAAAGACGCATTACGTATACAATTAAAATCAGAACCACTCGAATATATAAGTCAAACTGTTATATTTAAATGCCCAATATAAATACACAATCCATTAAAACAAAACTAATCGACAACTTAAAATGAATATAACCTCAAAATATTAACCTTGAACACAAATTCTCACTTTCAATACAAAATAGGTTACAATACAATACATGTACAAATTAAATCAGAGTTAAAGCCTGTGCAGACGGGAGACTTATGTCTGTTGCGGATAAAAATTTGGTCAGGATGGTAAAGAAGATCGAAGGCGATCTTCACAGGGTATTTTGGTCCTCTCTGCGAGGTATTCAATGTTGATTTTGACTATATTGATATCCTACTAATTCATAAATGTGAAACTTTAGAGAATTTAATAATAGTAATCCTCCATGCCGGTTTTGGCTATCATGATCTCTTAAGAGGCTGGAAAATCCACCTTTGTTTATAAATATTCTTCCACAGAGTGGACACATGAGAATACCATTAACATGGTTATAGTTAATTGCCACTTGTGGTCGTGATGTTTAACTATGAGGATGTATGTACTAAATTTCCTGTATGTATGTACTATATTTTGTAATTCTTTCGCAAAAAACTACTGACAGAATGAACTTTGACATAGAGATAGATTATAGTATTCTAGTTTAAACTGTCAAACACCAAGCGGTCACCGGTGACCGCGACCTATTGTTCTTTAATTGTGTCTATAAAACCGGTACTCGACGAGTTAACCCGATAATGTGGGTAAGACACTGACAGAATCTAGTAACTTATAGAGAATACGTTTAGTACCAAAAAATATTCGTGCAGACAGTATCTCGTCTGCACGGGTCTTAAACGATTCTCATTCCCAACGGCATCAATTAAAATGTCTCGAACAATTTTAAACTTTAATGAAAAGGGGAGATCCGTAATGTTTTGTCATCTGAATGGTTCCTTTTTATGCAAATAAGGAGATCTCTCTCGCGAAAGTTCTGCGTAAACGCGTAATAAGGCCGATGTCGATTCATTTAGTGTGGCCCGCCTTTAGTGTTATTATTTGAATTAAGAATTTCGAAGTCAACGAATTTAATTTGAGTAAACAACGACAAAGGTTTTATTTTATACTTTTTTTTTAAATAGAACAAGTTTAAGTTTGGGTTTTGCTGTGAATCTAGATAAATGACTAGAGTTTGTTGGATTTTCAGTCTGATTTTGCTCCAAAAATGCTAAATCAATTTGCAAAATTTTAGTGTAGGTATAGATAGAAGAAATAGCAAATTTTAAATTCCTCAACACACTAATTATAAACCTTATTCTAAGAACTCTTTAGAAAAAAAATCCCTTGCTTCATCTGTGGCATTCTCTTACTTCTATCAATTCCCATACGACACAATCGTGACGACATCTAATACCCTACACGTTCATAAGACAAAATGTCAATTTGCGGAGCGAAGTAATTACAATATTACGGCACGGGAACGATCCGATATCACATGTAATAGGATTAATCTTAGCAGTGAATTAAGCATTGTAGCTGATTCAGCATACATAGACATCTGATGACTAGTGTATTGCCCTTGATTCTGGTTATGTGTTTGGTTCTACGCGTGTAACAGGACGTGAATAACCAATTCTTGTATATATGTATGTATCAATGACCTCGGAAGACTCCGATGATTTCTTGAAATTTCATAGTGGTTTCTGAAGCGATAAATCGATCTAGCTAGGTTTCATTTTCAGAAAACGTTGTTTGCTAAAAACAGACATCATCCAGTACGTATCCTCACCCAGTACACATCAAACAATACAGTAGTTACTTTGATAATCTTTAAAAAAAAAATAGTAACAGATCGGCGTACTTATAGAATGTGCTTGTTGTACTGTGGTAAAAGAGAAGACCAGACACTATTCGAACACTTTTGGAAAGACCTTTGATCACAAATATCGACACGGATGGCGTAGGATTGGCTCTGTAATTTGTACCGTGGGACTAACGATTGTACTTACAAATCTATGGAAAAATAATACCATAAAATTCAAAGCACTACATCACATCAAAATCCCTAACATCGAAAACAACACATACAAACAGCAAACATGTAAAATAAGTTCGCGTCTCGTCAACAATTTCGTCATCATTCGCAACCCGCCGCCTCCCCGTTTGTCGTGCAAAACTTTGTACGGGAACCAACCCCCAGCATTTGTTCCCGAGGATTTTACAAAGCGACTGTGATTCACGGAATAATTTGTATATTTTTGGAGCTAAGTTCAAACAACTTGACTTTTGTTCGGGTTATCCGTGTTATATTTTCTTTTGAAGTTGTTTCTATGTTATTGATTTATTATACACGAGTATGCAATTACTGAGTTTGTACAGAGGCCTTAGTACACGTACAGTACAGTACGAGTACGCGTTCGGCACTCTGATTGGCGGGCGCCAATGAACCAACCTATCAGAGCGCCGAACGCGTACTCGTTACGATTACTTTAAACATAAAACCAACTCGTAATAAGGCCTCTGCTCTTAGAAGCAAAACATAGTACATAAATACACATGATATAAAATTTTGGGTTAAACCTTTGTATAAAGAGTATAAGAGCCTAATCGCGGTTAAATGGTTCAGGCTGTTAGAGAACACTGCTGCCTAATATCACTCGAGTGTTTATTCACTTTGTGATCTTCTATGACATCTGCAGGTGTACCGTTAGGTACTCTACCAACCCATAAAAAATGAGGATTACCCCCAGTTCACCGACTGCACGAGATTTCTTGGCAGTCCAACCTTCCTTGCTTTTGCTTTTCTTTTGTAAGATTTCTCTGCGGATATAAAAAATCGTCTTTTTATTATAGTCTTAAGTCTAGTCCGCCGAGAATCTAAGGGTAGCGACAAAACATAATCTACCGCCACCTTAGTCATGCTAAAACTAGACTGGTTATAAAAAGTATTTTTTTGTTACAGGGGTGTGCCTGATTGAGCACGCGAGTGGCAGAACCACAGACAAAGTAACAAACCACAACAACTCGTACACCAGCTACGGACTATTCCAGGTAAGACGACAGTAATATAAATTTAATATAGTTTCTACTACTATCTAAAGGCAGAAGGGTGCTTTTTGCAAATCAAAAGAGTCTGCATGAACGCGATATACTCAAACACAGCCCGATGGATTTTTATAAGGTTTAGGTGGATGATTTTTGTTATAAGCCGGTAAATGACCATACGGATCACCTGATCGACCTGAAGCAATACCTATGGACACTTGAAACACCAAAGCCATTACAAGTGCGTTACCGGCCTTTTGACAATTGAAAATTTAATGATTGTGAGGAATTCGGGGATTGGGGAGACTTAAGGGTAATTGGGCCTCAGGTAACCTCACTCATACGACGAAACACAATGCAAGCGTTGCTCACGCCGGTTTTATGTGAGGCCGTGGTATCACTCCGATCAAGCCGGTCTATTCATGCCGATGCATGGCTCTCCCACACTTAAGACTACACGGGCAAAACTATTATCGAAAATTAGACCGGAAAAATCAGGAGAAAAGACATGTGGACGATGTATTAGTACTTGGCAATTTACTTAAAATTTTAAACGAAACCACGAGGGTAAGCTATTCTTCAATAAACCACATAAGATCCGGAGATTTAAAAGCATTTCCCTTGATTATCAGCTTTTAACAAGATAATACATCAATATTAAATCGGTTACTGAATTAACGACACGGCTTTTAATCCCTGAAGGTAGATAATAGATGAAGGTAGATGTGCACATATGTATTTATTTATTGGAACATCCACTTTTCATCTTTAATGTCTCATGCAATATTATTCCCCTATATTGATTGAGTAAAATGGGGACTCCTTTATATGTTCAACAGGTGGCGATAGTGTGATCCTTTCGTTTTTCATTCAGTAACAAATTAGCTAATTTAACTAAAAATCGCGGATTGCTCACGTGAATACATTGCTTACATACAAGGTTTTCTCAATTTCTGTATTCCTCTTTAGTCTTAATCATGATTTTTCCGCTGGTTTCGTATGTTCTCTTGTAATACATATGAATGGCCCGAGGTAAAAAAAATAATCATTCGAATACAGTACTTCCTCCTTTTTATAAAGTCGGTAAAAATTAATTATATCTACTGCTACTTGCTAGGTGTTACTTAAATGTTACCAATCCATAAAAATTTTTGTCTCGAAGCAATATCTACGTACCTGAAACAAAAAACACCATTATAAGAATTGGATAAAAATACAATTTGAATATTACTAATTTATAAATTAAACTGAACTGCCTCATTGGCCGAGCGGTCGCAAGTGCGACTGCCTCATTGGCCGAGCGGTCGCAAGTGCGACTGCAAGGGGTCTCAGGTTCAATCCCCGGTCGGACAAAATTACTTTTCAGTAGTAGCACGGAGCCTGGAAATGTTCCCAGTATATGACAATAGGCTCACCCCCTATTACATGGGACTCATTACATAAATAGTGAAAAGTAGGTGTTGCATTGTACAGTGGCATTAAATGGAATATATAATATTATGGATAAAAAACGTGATATTATGTTATGTTTATGTGTGTATAAAATTAAACAGGTATACCTAATAGAATTAATAGGTACAGCGTGAAATCAAGACCTAAGTTATAATACAAAAAAATTACTTTTGATAACGAAAAACACAGAGACCACAGAACATATTTATATATTCTGTGACGCAGACTATAATAAACTTATCTTTCTCGAAACTCCACAAACAAAAAAAAACATTTAAATAACGAAAACAAAACACAGTCGCCAATCACTCCGTACTCCATACAAACCTGAAACGTTCATTCATAAATCTGCATTACAATTAGTAGCCACACATATTTGCATGATCAGACCCACTAATCAGTCTAGCTGGACATTATTCCCACATTATGCCACTCTGATAGTCCAAAACTTGAATTTGAAATGCGTAGATCAGTTCCCGTGATTTTGGAATAGTAATGACGATGGGCTGGAATTAGTTGGATGGCTGTGATAGTCGCTAACTGATGTTATAGTGTAGTTTTGATTAGTGAGATATCTAATATCACGGTACCCGAAAGGGTAGATGAAGGAACATGTTATTGAAAGTAGCGGCATGGTGGCCCCGAGGACATCACTGACAAACGGTGAGTGAATATGAGAATGAGTGATAATCAGAAATCGGAAGGAATCATATAAAGCGGATTTTTTTGTTATTTTGTTTGAACGCGCTAATCTCCGTAACTGCAAGTCTGATCTGAATAATTCTTTTTGTGTTGGATAGCGCATTTATCGAGGATGGCTATAGGCTATAAAACATCACGCTACGACCAATAGAAACTGAGCAGGGCGTGTAAAACCGCGCGGAAGTAGCTAGTTCTTTTATAAGTTTGAAATCGCCAACCTGTATTGAGCAAGCATAGTGATTAATGTTCAAACATTCTCCGTGTGAGAAGAGGCCTTTGGTTAACAGTAATATCAAAAGATGCATTCGCTACATACTCTCTTACAGTTCTTAAAAGTACATACAATGTCTATTAAAATTTCATGGCGGCTCGGTCCTTATTTTGCAGTCTCAGATCGTAACATATATTTTATTATACGAACGTGTTACTGCCTCTCTGGGGCGACATAACGATACTAACCAATATTTATTTATTATTGATAACGAAAAAGTAATATAGGTACACTGAAAGGGGTAGGCAGTGTTGCAATAGAAACTGTTAATATAAACTTAACGTGATTTCAAAATTGTCTTTGACTACTCAAAATACAAAAGACTTGACAGTCTAGTTGAACAGAAACCACTTGGCATAGCTTGACATACACAGACGTCGAAGCCTGTAAAAACTCTAATTAGGATTTCAGAGAAATAGATTCTCGATATTATAGAAAAGCCTTCAATGTCTAGAGAATTAAACCAATTATAAACGTAATGTTTTCAGCTTTGAATGAATAAAGGGACACTGACGGACGGCTACTAGTGATTGCACCACAGTTGCTTCAAATATAGGTCAAAACTGCACCTATATTCAATTCAAATAAGGAATATTACATTGCTATACACAAGGACGTTGAGCAAAAGGAGGACAGAGTCTCTTGAAACAACAACTGAGGCACCTGACTACTATAGACTTACACGCAGAACACACACATTGACACGAAGGACATCTGTCATTTTCTTAAATGTGGCCTCAAGCGTAGTCACACGCACACATAAATAACCTACTAACATTTCGGTGCTTCAATCATTGCTAAGTGACATTCATCATCATCATCATCATCAACAGCCTATAAATGCCCACTGCTGAGCAAAGCCTCTTCTCACACGGAGAAGGTTAGAGCATTATCACCACGCTTGCTCAATGCGGGTTGGCGATTTCAAACTTATAATTAGAAATTATAAGTCCAGGTTTCCTCACGATGTTTTTCCTTCACCGTTTGTCATTGACATTACTACCGCCTTTTGTTCAACTTCCTTGTATATAGCTATGTAATATTCTTTACTTGAATTAAATATAGGTGCAGGTTTGGCCTATATTCGAAGGAGCTGTGGTGCAATCACTAGTAGGCCGGATGAGGTCCATTACAGATAGATCTCGTGTTAATTTAGACTCAAGTGGGATAGTTTGGTCACGTGTACTCAATAGTGATGTGCTGTTATCGATATTTTGGATGGGACTTACTTCTTACTAGTGATGTTTAATGCGTGGTAGGAGCGCAGACCTACGATATACGACATAATTATTAAATATGTACCTACCCGCAAACAAGAGATTAAATAATGTCATGGGAATTCGTTTCCCGTCATTATTATATCTTTTAAGTCTAATTATTTATAATTATTTTTATTTAACAATATTGTAAGTCCCATCCAATACTGTGTGATAAGGGAGATACATACACAAGGCATATTTCGAGAATTCGCGCAATTTTCAAAAAAATATCAATCGCGCAAAAATACCAAAAAAAAACACAACAAACTATGAGGTACCAATAAATGAATACGACTAAATGCAATGCATTTACCATAAAAGCTGTGTTAACACAATAAGTATATCTTCCAATATTAAGCCAAAGAAGTAAAATTTTCCAAACATTGTAAAAATTAATACAGCCACTAACTCGCGGCACCGTATCGTAAGACATAAATATTTTTATTTTACTAACCAACGTAAAATTGTTTGCTTCACTCGAATTGCACATAAGATACGAGTATGAGATGCAAACAGACAAACATTGAAAAATTATATACCTTTTTTGAGGGGGCAAATCATACAATGGATTCTCCCGCCTTGGGTTAGGCGAGAGGGAGTGTCAGACTCTTACTGACTAAAAACCACCCCGTTCCTTCTCCTGCACGTCGAGCCGGAGCCCCGGTAACCCGTTAGGTCTTCCGCGGCTCCGTAAAAATTATATACCTACATTTAAATTTTCTCCTAACTGATAACTCATTCCCAAATTTTTTCAGGTCGGCACAATGATAAGTTCACTATTGCTGACAATTATTACTTTAAACGTTCTTCGACTAAATTAATTTATTATTGGGTGGTATTTAATACTTTAACTGTAAATTCCCTTTTTTCAATCAAAATATTCGAAATTACCACCAAAAATACTGAATTGCACACTAAATTTGCTCATCAAATAAATCAATTATACTATACTGTTAGATCTTTAAAGCTTAACTGTTTTACTAAATGACTATCTTTTAACTAAAAGTAAATCTAATAATTCTCCGAGTGCAACAAAATATATAAAAACAACAAAAATAAAACAAACCTAACCTAATATTGAACAATTAGTGTGCAAATCAGTATTTTTGTTTTACAATTCATTTTTTTGATATGCAGTAGGTTATTAGTGGTTAAATTTAGTTTGCTTAAATTTCTAAATAGAGGTGCAGTTAAAAATTCCTCTTTATTAATTAATAATATCAAAAAAGTGTAGTAGCTATAGGTCTCATGTGTTTTGTGCGCGTACATTTAGCATAGAATTTGGAATGATGTATACATCTGTCTACACAGAGGAACAAGAG